CAAGAAAAGAGATACCATAATAGAGGGAGCCATTATAGGTTTAAAGAGAAATCTGGCACTAGGGAAATGTCCAGAGATCTATAAGGATGACACCAACCAACAGCAATAGTGGAGAGGCTACCTTAAGTGTCCTTCCCTGATAATGAGATTGATGACTACCTTATATGCCATCCTAGAGCCTTCATCCAGTAGCTGATAGAAGCAGAAGCAGACACCCACAGATAAACACTGAGCTGAACTCCTGGAATCCAGTTGCAGAGAGGGAGGAGTGATGAGCAAAGGGGTCAACACCAGGCTGGAGAAATCCACAGAAACAACTGACCTGAACAAATGGGCCCCAGACTGATAGCTGGGAAACCAGCTTAGGACTGACCCAGACCCTCTGAACATTGTGTCAGTTTGGAGGCCGGGGCAATCTATGGGGCCTCTAGTAGTGGATTAGTATTTATCCATAGTATATGAATGAACTTTGGGAGCCCATTCCACATGGAGAGATACTCTCTCAGCCTAGACACATGGGAAGGGCCTAGGTTCTGCTCCAAATGCTGACAGATTTTTGAAGATCCCCCATGGAAGGCCTTACCCTCCCTGGGTAAGGGATGGGATAGGGGGTTAGTGGGAAGAAGGGGAGGAGGGGAGGGAGAGGGAACTGGGATTGACATGTAAAACAAGCTTGTTTTTACTTTAAACAAAAGAAAAAAACCTTTTGTTTTTGTATGTATACAATATATATCATGATGTCACTGCTAATATTTTTGGTGTTTGGGTTTCATCTTTCTTTGCAGAGTAATCATAAGAGCAGATGGGATTAAGTCAACCAAATCCAAGCATTCTGCTTGGAAAAACACAAACTGTTGATAAAATAAATGTAAGAATCAGATAGGTAATGTGAACAGATGAAGGGAGCCAAGGTTCCACCTCCAGTTTTTTCAATTCAGCAGAGCTCAGGGAAAGGATTGAAAATTTGCATTTCCGATAGTTTTTTTGGTGGTGCTAACATTACTGATCCAGAGAGCACACATTTAAAAAGCTTTAAATGATTTTACTCATTACTTAAAATTTTGCTTAGGCATCTTATGCAGCGATTGTCCAGGCTAATGAAGCATGGTGTGGTATTTCAGCACATACAATTAGCATCTACTGACGACATCAGGGCAGGTACCATTTCTACCTCCTTATCACTTCTTTGTGGTTGGAGTCCTCAAGCTCCTCTTGTCTGAATCTTTATAAAATCTACAATTGGGCATTGGGGTCTGCAGTGGCCCCACTATGCTGTGGGGTGCCATAACTTTTTTATCTCTGTCATCGAATCCTTCTCTCCTCTACTTCCCTCCCTACCCTTCCTTCCCTCTAGTAATTACTGGTCTACATTCAGTTTGACTAGTTTTACTCTCCTCATATTAACGTAAGAATATGTAGTATTTGTCTGAGTATGGCTTATGTCATTTAGCACAATATCCTGTGTTTCCAACCATCTTGCTGCTAAAGGAAGGATTTTATTCTTCTTTATGGCTGAATGATAATTGGTTGTGTATATATCCTTCATGTCTTTATCATTTCCTCTGTCAGTTGGGTAGCAAGATTCTTTATGTATCTTAGCCATTGTGAATGGCACTGCAATAATCACGGGAGTTCTGATGTTTCTTTGGTATGCTAATGCCACTTCCTATGGATCCTATAGAGATCACACTTGGAGAGTAACTGTTCTGTGAACCTCTGGATTGCTGTGGCATTTGTGAACTCAGGCCATGTTCACAACCATTAGCTGGGGAGCTGGCTGTAACAATCCCAGCATTGGAAGAAGTTGGGGGTAAAGCATCGTTTCCCATCCCTGTGTCATTTGCATCAGTTTGGAAACAGAACAGGACTCAAGTTCACAAGCAAACACAGAAGGCCACCTTGGTCTTGGCTTCTTGGTCCCTCAGATTCTGCTCACCAAACTTAGTACCATTGGAAGCAATATGCTTCTTGGTCTCCTGCAGAGTGTGTCCCAGCTTTAAGGCAACACTCACACACAGGGATGTCCATGTCAAAGAGAGATGGGAATTCTAACAAAGAGCTGGAGAGTCAGGACTGTCCTGTGTGCTGATT